CTCCACAAAAGCTGCTTAAGCAGAAATAAATCCAGATCCGTGCATCTGAAGGATATTACAACTGATGGAATCAGCAATCCTAGACCGGTCTTGCTTCAGCTCAAACAGTTCATTTGCGGCTCATCATCAGATTGTTCTGACTTGACGCGTAAACTCTTTTTTTTTTTTGCAATGAGGTGAATCATCCTTCAGCTGGGGAGGCTGGAAGATGTTTGTTTGGTCTCACACCGATTTGTTGGTATGTGGAACGATTCGTCACAAAATAAGTGATAATAGTCCGTAACATCATTTTAAAAGGGAATTGGTATCAATAATTGAGGAAGAAAAACATTAAAGGATATGGAGGGGGAGGAGAGAAAGCAAGCGAATATGTTAGTTAATTGGGTGAGCACCTGCAGAAATACGCAGCACCAAATGACCTCTGTTTGTGCAATAAGTATTTTATGATTCTGAATGCCACATCTAACGCTAGTTTTGATCTTTTTTTGTAGATTAAAAGGCTTTAAACTTATGAAGGACACCTTCAAGATAGTGTTTCACTCTCTACCGTTCCAGAGATCCAATTAATAGAACAGGGATTAAATGTACAAACATCGGGTCGTCAGATTGATAAGACTGAAACCGCAGACAAGTGGCTGAAAGGAATATAAACTGAAAGTGGGTGTTCATGGGCTTTATGCAATGTTGTCCTTGATAGCTCCTTGGACTCCCAACACTCAGCCGCCCTTGCTCATTTGAACCACATGATATTGATAATGGAAAGATGGAGCTCTGTTGTTGGAAAATACAGTTAGTTATTGATTTATGTACAGTTCTTGTTTCCTCCGCATCTGACCGGGTTCAGAGGAGACCATCTTGGGTTGTGACATGGAGAGTTGTGTAACAGCAGCCAGCACAACTGGCCTTCTCTGGCAAGGCATGACTCTCTGTGGCACATTATCTGATAATAATAATAATAATAATCCTTGCATTGATATAGCGCCTTATCATTTCTTTGTGACGTCTCAAAGCGCTTCATAGAATATACTGTAAAGTGAACGGACTATATTTTGTGGTGAAACGCAACAGCCAATTGCGCACAGCAGCGTCCCACGAACCGTTGTGGATTGAAGTGAACAAATTATTATTTTTTCATTTTCAAGGAATTATTATCCTGGAAAAGCGATCCAACAATTGACCAACAACCAGGTTCCTACTTACTGCCAGATAAAAGGGGCGTGTGGAGTAAGGAAACTTGCCCAACATTTCGCCCTGCTGGGAAACGAACCCAGGTCCTCTTGCTTGCGAGGTGAGTGCTCTGATGACAAGAAATCTGGCCACAAATTAAATTAATATTAACAAGCCTCAAGCATTCGGACTTGATATTTGAAGAGAATTTTTCCCCCCTCATCTTATTGTAGAGCACGTGCCCCTATTCCACCATCATAATATCCTTGTGATAATACACATATTCTGTACTGTATAGGTATTTTTGTGCATGTTACAGGAATGCATCGCTGCATACAAGCTTCGCATTTTGTTGTTGTTACACCACCCTTAGATAAGTGATGTGTAGGGATCTTGTATTAGAATTCATGATACAAGAATGCAACTGCTCACTCTGTCTTTCTCGTGTTCTCTCTGTATCACTTTCTCAGAAATGTCTCGCTATTAGCTTCCCAGTGGTTGAATGAGATCGGCCATTAAGCAGCTGAGACCAGGAACATCCCATGTTTTATTTCTGATCTGTGCTGCATCCCTTGCATGCAGAAGTTATTATGATAATAATTCTTGTATTTGACATAGTGCCAAAATCAGATCAAAATATATCACAGGCAATTACTGTCAAGAGTCATGTATTTATAGACAAACTCAGCAGACAATTTGCATCCGGATCCTTTGACAAACAGAATGTGTTGGGATTTTTATTAAAACATTTTTGACCAACCAAGGTGTCTGACACATGCGAAAACCCAACACCGTGCTTAAGAGTATCCAAAGAAGCTGAGACCTCCATTCATCCCACCTACTCATAGAAATCCCAGAGATAGATTGTTGGAATGGATTGCACACTCTCTCCCTGGAGGGACCCATCCTTCTTACCTAATTCTGGAAAAATAGTTGTCGTAGGTTGGCAAGAGTCAAGGCTTGGGGAACCCAGAGTGTGCGTTGGGGTAACTGCGGTAGTCTAACCAGCTAAAACCACATAGTTTGCCATTGATATTGCAGGGATTTGAATGCAAGGTGGAGAATACAGAGGGTTAATACATAAGAACATAAGAATTTGTAAACAAAAATCTTTGCAAAGTAATGTTAAATTATCAAAACTCTTCATTCAGCAGAATATATTTAATCGTTCAGATTAACCAGAGTTAATTGACCAGAGCATTAAACAAAGTACTTTTTAAACCCAAATACATTTCATATTCAACATCTTCTGCAGTTAATAAAATTATATTATTATTATATAATTACTGAGTCTGAGTTTGTTCCTTCTAATGTGTATTGATTCTAATGATTTGACAGCCATAGTCAGACAGATTGTCTTTGTGTAATATTATATAAGTATTTTCTCACACTTGATCAGATTACTTTTGAAAACTTGCAAATAAGCCATCTTCTGGAAGATTCAGTCTTTTAATGGTGAAGTTAAATAACGCAATGAAGTGATGGTAATAATGGGATTGGAGTTGTAGGGGAGCTAGCGTAGAAATCAATGGACTGAATGGCATCCCTCTATGCTGTCGTTTCTATGATTCCATCAGTATGTCATTGCAGAATGCAGAACAATAAAATGCGAGTTTCATGTCTGTGTTTGACCTCATGGGAATGTACAACCACTGCATTGACATGCTATGTAGCAATCCAGTGATTCCCTCTTCCCCTCATTCGCTTGTAATTCGTGTGCTTAAGAGATTGTAATATGAAATTATTTTCCAATTAGAAATGGTAGCAATTGGANTTTTTTTGCTTTCCATGAATGACCTCATGAAACAACTGAGTAAAGTGGACAAGTTTAATGAGCTACTGCCTTGATAGATTCTAGTACTGCAACCCCAGCCTCGAGTACTCATTTGAATCACATCTAAGTAAAAGTTTTGGCCATTATGATTTTGTTTTAGGAGGTCACAAGTGCATTTCTGATTTATTTAGTGTTTGAAAAGGCATTAAATCTGGGCACTTAAGCCTATGCAGGATCAATAACATTAATAAAGGTTTTATGGGCTTGGGAGAAAAAGTGCTTGCAGCACAATATTGGATCTAAATTGCATGAATTTGCAAATCAGTTAATAACTAGTGAATTCCGTTGTGGCCAATGATCTAGAATTTTGCTTGGACCCAAACTCAGTTCCATTGACACATGATTTAAAAGTGACTAATTTTATCATTCCTGATCCTTTTCATTCTGCGATGGATCTTGTTTAGCCCAGTTTACAAACAGAACTCAGTCAGTGTTCAGCCCATTTTCACTCTCACTCTTTCTCACTCCCATCGGGGTGCCAATGGGGTGTAAGGACTCTGTGGAGCTTTGCTTCTCATACAGTGTGTTGCCCATAGCCAATACATTAGCATTAGAACTGGAGCGCATCTTCTTCACGTAAATATCCCTGATGTTCACACAAGGCGCACCCGCCACTAGGTTCCTAATTTCTTGATTGCGAATGACAGGGTCAACGTAATCTTCCCTTTTATAATATTTAGTGAACTTGTTAAATATCACCGTGACCGGCAGAGCGACCATCAGAAGACCAAATATTATGCAGACACTGGCGACGATCTTGCCTGGGATGGTGACAGGACAAGTGTCCCCATAGCCCACTGTGGTCAGGGTAATGGTTGCCCACCACCAGCCAACAGGAATGCTATTGATTCCAGCTTCTTCCTCTTCCTTTTCAGTTGAATAGATGAGAGCCGAGAAGATGGCTATGCCCACGGTCAGAAACACGAACAGGAGCCATACCTCCTCAAAGCTGTGCGTGAAGGTCGCTCCCAGTGACTGCAGCCCATTGGAATGGCGAGCCAGCTTGAGGATCCGAAAGATTCTCATCAGTCGTAGGACTTGCACTACACGCCCAATGTTCTCCAGCCCCGAGATGCCCTCGCCAATCCGCTCAATCGCCAAGGTGATGAAGAAAGGCAAAAAGGATAAAAAGTCAATGATGTTCAACGAACTCCTCAAGAACTTCCTAATGCATGGGGCGGCTATCAATCTGGCTGCGTATTCAGTGGTAAACCACACGATACAGAACACTTCGAACACCACAAAAGTTGGGTCCTCTGGTTCTTTCTGAAATTCAGGCAAACTGTGAACCCACATAGAAATGATGGAAATTATCACCATGGTCAGAGAGGAGACAGTATAAACCTTGGATAGTATGGAGTAGTCTGGATTCTCGAGAACAAGCCACAGCCTCTTCCTGTATTCCCCTTGCCACTTGTGCTTAAAGTTCTCGATTTGTTGGGGGATGCTGTCGAAATCTTCCAAAGATAAGATGCTTACGTCGTCACTCTGAATGTCAAACTCCTTCTCCACCAAGTTCTCCTTGCGCTCGTGGTATTTGTATATGCAGCAGTGGTGGATGCGAAGCTCGCTGATGCCCCAGTACTCAATCTCTTGGCTGAAGGAGAACACACACATCTCCTCCATCACGTGCAGCTTTCCGGTGTTATAGAAGTTCAGCACGTAGTGAAACAGACTCGGGTTTCTGTCAAAGTAATATTCATCGTTGTCCTCGTCATAGTCATCGCACAATTCCAATTTATCCTCTGAGACGCACTCCAGCAGCTTTCCTAGTCTAGTTTCTGGGAACTTTAACAGTGCTGTTTGCTCGATTTTTTGCTTCAAGCCCCCCACGTTGATATTAATCATCTCCTGGTTGTCTCCTGCTTTGTGGTAGAACTGTCCATACACCATTATTGCCAGGTCCTCTTCACAACTGCATCCAGATCACTTGAAAGCCAGGGTTGCAGTCAGGAGAAATAAAATTCTTACCAACCGTTTCTGACTGACGTTGACACGTGAGAGTCACTATTGATTCCCGTATCTTTTTGTTCAGAAAGCTCTGAAAAACCATCAAAAATGATATCCTATTTTCGAATGTGAAATAATAAGTCTTTCTTTTCTCTGCCAATATTATAATAATGATAATAACCCTTGCGTTTGATATAGTGCCTTATCACGTTTTCTAGACGTCTCAAAACGCTTCACACAATATACTGTAAAGTCAATTGACTGCATGTTTTGACTATGTTTTGTGGGCGAAGTGGGGCAGCCAATTGCGCACAGCAGTGTCCCCCCAAAAAATGGTGGATTAAAATGGTGCTCTTAATCAGAGTACTGCTATGAGTCATGAGCACTCTATAAAATACCTCCAAACTGGCCAGTATTCATGTTTGAGTCAGTGAGCACTGACAAGTCAATCAACTGAAGGGACCATCATAACTGAGCTGTTTCGGTATAGCATTGTACAGCAGAGACCTTAGTTTCTTTCCGTGTCCTGGCCAACAATCCCCCAGATAAAATTGGTCAATCACTTCATGGCAATTTGTGGGACAATGCTCTGTGCAAATTGGCTGCTGCATACGTATACAATGTAGACAATCACTTTATATAATTTAGAGTATATAATAATAATAATTCTTGCATTTCATGCCTTTGAGACGTCTCAAAGCGCTTCACAGAATATACTGTAAAGTGAATTGACTGTATATTTTGTGGGCGTAACTGTATATCCGGTGAAATGCTTTGAGATGTCCTCCTGACATGAAAGGTGCTATATTAAATTCAAGGATTATTATATTATTGTTATTGTGAGTGCACTGGGGAGAAGATCATGGCTCCTGGGCTGTTCTTTCTTCAAGTTTATAAACATTGAATTTGACTTTCAGATAGCACAAATGTGGCAGGAATTCGGATGTATACCAATTTAATGTTTGGGAGCTAAGTGTTTGTTTTCAGTCATCTCGCTATCACCGTCTATGTGAATTACCATTTGAAAGATTCTTTTTACAGAACACAGTGTTAAGGCACTGACTGGAATGTTAGTGAGCAGATGTATTAATGTGCTGTAAACCAGCGATTCTCAATGACTAGCCTGAATATCAACAGCAGTCTGTGATAACCTCATAAATTCAGAGATCTCTCAAGATCGATTCGCCTCATAGGCTAAGTTACTAATCGTTGCCAAATTTAAGAAGGTACCTAGACCGTCCTTGGTATCAAAAATGTTGAGAAATGCTGTTGTAAGCAATACCTTGATCTCATTAAGTGGAAAGCCACAGTTGAGTGATATTTTATTATATATTATTCATATGAAATCTGGGAACAAATGTAATGTTTAGCCTTGGATTAATGCCTGGCAGGGATCGAAACATGATGTTACCAGAGAGATAGAACAAAACCACCTACAGAATTAGAGTGAAAATTTATCGAAAGAGGCCAACAGTGGGCAGCCACCAATCCAGTAAACCATCGATAAACTTGCATCCAAGAAACACACCCGTGAATAAGAGATCACTTCAAGCCAGTTGCTTTTGAAGCTGTTACTGAATCCGGTAGAGTGCAGCACTAATACTAACATGATCCTCGTCAGTTGTTTCAGCTCATTCGATGTGACCATGTCAAATCTCTCAATGTTAATTAAAAACACATAATGATGCACATAAGGCATTAATTGATTAAAATGGCATTATTTAACAGTATGAATGAATTAAGTTCACCATAACCTGACTAATGTTGTAAACACTCCACTTCACAGAATATACTTTGAGATGTCCCGAAGCCGTGAGAAGGCACTATATCAAATGAAAGGATTATTATTATTAAACATTTTAATGCCCACTCATCAAATGCACTTTGAATCTGACTTGTTACATTTCATCTTCAAACTCCTGCAAATAAATAATTGCAGGTTTGTAAGTATTACACAGTGGGATTCACAGCCACCACTCCTTCAGTTATACTTTGATCTCAGCTTCTTTTCAGACTTATTATAAAGTAATCAATATTACAAACACTGCGACTCATTAATACCGTGGTATCAGAATTGAATGAATAAAACCTGGTAACCTGTACTTTGCGTTGTTACCTTGTTCCAGTCCGGCTGCTGTTTGTGAAGGGAGCTGGTCCATCATCACTTAGCTGGTCGGAGAGCGTTTTTTTACTGTCTGAGAGTTGGCAGACACTGGGATGAATTTGGTGCACGCCCTCTCCTCCTGGATTGGCTATATATCCAGATGATGACTGGTTTAGAGTGACAGAGACAACCCTGACAAGCAGAGCTTGGAGCCAAACCAGGGTCCAGGAGAGTATTCACTGTGCAGTGGACAACCAGTATACATTATTACACAGCTTCTATTGCAGCCTGCAGGACACAGCCTATATAATAATAATAATACTTGCATTTGATATCGTGCCTTATCACATCTTCAAGACGTCTCAAAGCGCTTCATAGAATATACTGCAAAGTGAATTGGCAAAACGCAGCAGCCAATGGGTTGGATTGAGTGACCAATTTATTATTTCTTTTTGAACAAATTATTGCCCTCAGAAATGCGATCCTCCAATCAACTGCCAACCAGGTTTCTACTTACTGCTAGGTAAACAGAGGCAATGTGGAGTAAGGAAACTTGCCCAATATTTATTTCTTCCTGCCGGGAATTGAACCCAAGACTGTCGCTTGCGAGGCGAGTGCTCTATCCACTGAGCGGCAAGACTACACTGGTAATCTGTACTTTTGTGTTGTTACCTTATATGGTGGAGTACAAAATATACTAAATACTGTTTATCACCAGCCTGCACTGCGCAATACATTGCATGTATAATGCAACACAGAGTGAAACAAACACGCAGCACACAGCTTATAAAGTGGCGCCATATCCCCTCACAGCGATGCACGCAGTACGCAATGTGCAGTACGCATTGCGCTGTAACTACTCTTGCTCACTTTTTAAGCTAATGGTCTAACAAGCTGTGCAAGTTTCCGAATCTGGTTGCAAAATTTCTTATAATTTGCTCCGTCTTTACGTTCAGTATCAACTTCAAATCTGGAGTTCCTGCTTTTGGCACTTTGCCGAGCGCTTGTTACTGAAATAAGCTCCTCTGTGACGGGGTGAATTTGGCTGAAATTGATTGGTGTCATTTACCAATGTGATGTCATTGAGAGCGCTGCCAAATATGTTGTAACCCATACAAGACAGTCAAGAAGTTTATCTGAGCATCGGTGACCGGGAGCAGGGATTCTTCCCACTCACCTCCTGTTCACCCTGAAAGCCAAAGCCCTAGTGGGTAGGGTTCAGGAAGCTTTCAAAGTCAACCGACATGGTTTTAGCTGCTTAAACTCTTAGCAGTATCTCGACGTATGCTCTGGGTCCCCGAGCCTTTGCTCTGGCCAACCCGCTGGGAACACGCGGCCGGTCAGGCAGCGTCTATGGAGAAAGTGCGTTAATGTTTCAGATCGATGACATGACCTTTCGTCAGAAAGGTGGAATCCTCGCTCCACCTCACGGAGCTGCCGCAGAACCTCAACGCCTTGGTTAACCCCCAACTCTCTTTCAAACCCCAAACTTCCCGGACACTTACTCGCTCAGCTTTTCCAGGGGGAGCTTATGGAGGGGGGGGCGGGGGGGGGGGGGTGAGTGTGTGCCGGGGTGTGGGGGGGATTATGGGGGTGTGGGTCAGTGTATCCCTGGGGCAGTTAGTGTGACCATGGGGATAGGGGGGGGATTTATGGGGGTGGTGGGGTGGGGGGGGGGGGGCAGTTTGTCCCTGTGAGGGCCCTTGTGTCTCTGGAAGGGTCATGTGTGCGGAGGGGGTGGTGGCCCAGGGAGTCAGTGTGTCCGCGGGGGGGGGGGTCATTGGGTCAGTGTGTCCCGGGGGGGGGGGGGGTATGGGGTCTGTGGTCAGTATGGGGGGGAGGTCAGGGGTCACTGTGGGGGGGAGGATAGGGGTCAGTGTGGGGGGAGGATAGGGGTCAGTGTGGGGGGAGGATAGGGGGTCAGTGTGGGGGGGGGAGGATAGGGGGTCAGTGTGGGGGGAGGTCAGGGGGTCAGTGTGGGGGGGAGGTCAGGGGTCAGTGTGGGGGGGAGGTCAGGGGTCACTGTGGGGGGAGGTCAGGGGGTCACTGTGGGGGGAGGTCAGGGGGAGGTCAGGGGGTCAGTGTGGGGGGAGGTCAGGGGTCACTGTGGGGGAGGTCAGGGGGTGGGGGGGGGAGGTCAGGGGGTCATTGGGGGGAGGTCAGGGGTCAGTGTGGGGTGGGAGGTCAGGGGGTCACTGTGGGGGGAGGTCAGGGGGTCAGTGTGGGGGGGGAGGTCAGGGGGTCACTGTGGGGGGAGGTCAGGGGGTCAGTGTGGGGGGAGGTCAGGGGGTCAGTGTGGGGGGAGGTCAGGGGGTCAGTGTGGGGGAGGTCAGGGGGTCACTGTGGGGGAGGTCAGGGGGTCAGTGTGGGGGTGGGAGGTCAGGGGTCAGTGTGGGGGTGGGAGGTCAGGGGGTCAGTGTGGGGGGAGGTCAGGGGGTCAGTGTGGGGGGGGTCACGGGGTCATTGTGTCCCTGGGTTCCGCCCTCTCTCAGTGTCCCGAGAGTTACCGGAAGTAGTCTCTCCCCATTGGCTGAGATTCCTGTCACTCAGAGCCCACCGGCCCCGCCCCGGAAGTTGAAGCGGGGAGCGATGGCGGGCGACAGCGGCGCTCAGTCCCTCACAAACCCCACCGAGTCCTACAGGGTGAGCCCCTCGGAGAGGCGGGGAGGGAGGGAGGGGAGAGGGTGAGGCCTGGTATTGCTGGGGAGGCCGGAGGCGCCGGGAGCTGGAGCTCGGGGGAGGCCGGTGAAGACCTGACCTTTTGACCGAGAGAGAGAGAGAGAGTGAGTGAGTGAGAGAGAGAGAGTGAGAGAGAGAGAGAGAGAGAGTGAGTGAGAGAGAGTGAGAGAGAAAGAGAGAGAGAGTGAGAGGAGAGAGAGAGAGTGAGTGAGAGAGAGAGAGAGAAAGAGAGAGTGAGTGAGAGAGAGAAAGAGAGAGTGAGTGAGAGAGAGAGAGTGAGAGAGAGAGAGAGAGAGAGAGAGTGAGTGAGTGAGAAAGAGAGACAGAGTGAGAACGAGTGAGTGAGAACGAGTGAGTGAGAAAGAGAGAGAGAGAGAACGAGTGAGTGAGTGAGAAAGAGAGAGAGAGTGAGTGAGAAAGAGAGAGAGAGAGTGAGTGAGAAAGAGAGACAGAGAGAGAGTGAGAGAGAGAGAGCTATTGGCTGAGCCAGGCTGCCTGACACTTTTATTATTCTCCTATAATAACAGTCACTACGCTTTGAAAGTAACCTGTTGTGCGAAGGGCTTTGAGACAGATGATGATACAGCGCCTTATCGAGTCGTCGAGACGTCTCAAAAGCGCTTCACAGGATATACTGCAAAGTGGAGTGACTGTGTATTTTGTGGGCGAAAAAAAACGTGGCAGCCAATTGCGCGCAGCAGCGTCCACCACAAACCGCCACTAAACAAGTGGCCAATTTTATCGGGGGATTGTCGGCTGGGACACCGGGAGAGGGAGCCTCACTTCTCGTTTTGAATACTGCCATGGGATCTTTACTGTCCACCTGACAAGGACCTCGGTTTAGCGTCTGAACCGAAGGACGCCGCCTCCAACAATCCATCAGACTGTCATCTTAGACTACGTGAGTTCAAGTCCTGACGCAGGACTTGAACCCACAACCTTCTGATGCCCGAGGCGAGAGTGCTTCCACTGAGCCAGGCTGATGCACCAATGGTGTCTATCAAATGAAAGCAATATCGCTTTGAGGATGTTCTGCGACAGAGAACGAGGCATCTACGTTTGGTTACTTTAGCTATCTATACTCATGCGAGTTGTGGTTGTTTTTGTAGATTCTGATCAATCAGATCGCCACAAGCAGTGATGAGAGAACAACAGCAAACGCGGTTGCCTGGTTCATCAACTGCTCTGATGTTGTGTATAAATGCAACCTGACTCTGCAACTGTGCAAATCCTGACCCGCTGTAGCTCTGATAGACTGGCGGGCTCAAACCCCGAACCTGCTGGATGCTACTCTGCGCTCCGAGACACTGCCCCGCGTGAAAGGGCTTTATATTGATGCAAGTTGTTGTTGTTCCACTACTGTATTCTGGTGTTAACCATGCAGGACTGCGGCCATTGGTAAGGAAGTCTGAGGGCTCTTCACCACTGTGCCTTGTCAGACCTGAGGCCTCTGCTGTTATCTTGGCCAACTATCCGGCAGATAAAGTTGTTCATTTACTTCATAGCCTTTCTGGGACATTGATGTGCTCAAAACTGTCTGCTACGTTTGCTTACAAATACAGTGAACTACCGTCAGGGAATTGTTCTGAATATAATTGAAGCTGTAGAGGAGAGCACGGCTCATTGTCATGTCGAGTGCTCGAGGGTCGCTGAGTTGGTGTTATTTATCTCTGCAGTGCTCAGGATTTCCTTCAACTTTAGGGTGTAACCCAAGGTCTAGTGCCGAAATGTAATGTTTGCAGTATCAAGCCCCACATCCTTTTTGATCGTGCTTACAGTCACCTCCCTCTCCCCCTGGCTCGTTGTCAGACTCCGCCACTGTGAAGTGCTCCAGGACGCTACCCCACATGAAGGGCGCAATGCAAATGCAAGTTGTTGTTATCAGTTTTGGAGCTCACAGTCTAAATCTCGGCTGTCAATTTCGATGCAGTGCTGAGGGAGCATTGCATTGTCTGAGCTACACCCTTCAGATGATACATTAAACCCAATGTACCATATGTCTGTTCAGGGGGAAGTTATGGATCCCATGGCACTATTTGGAAAGAGATTGCAATTTCTCCCTGTGTCCTAAGAAATAGTCCTCCAGATTAATTGGTGATTTCACGATTGTTTGTGGGATTTTATCGGCAAAAATTGGGCACCATGTTTGCCCGCAATTGTGTCCCTAGAATTGACTGCAATCACCTGTGAAGTTCTTTAATACTTTATTGCTGCGTCAAATCCAAGAATTGTTATTATCTTCCTGTTTTGGTCACGTGGTGATAATTTGGTCGGACACAAATTTCCATATTTTCCTCAATCACAGGAATCTAGTTTTACCTGTTATTGTTGCATCAGTAGGGCTGAAGATAGACCTTCTTCAGTTGCTCATGTTTTCAGTTAAAGGTTCAGAGGGCAATAAAATCCTAAAATCCTGAGTGCTGTTACCTGTAATATACGCCTATCATCAGGTCATTCCTTTATCGCTGGCAGAAGGGTTGTGATTGCTCACTGTCACATTTACTCTCTTGTGCACAATGGGGAATTTGTGGGATGTCAGTGATACAAATTAACCTTGACTTGCTTGCCTCCAAACAGCGTCACTTAAATTCTAATTAGCATCTTCTGAAGTGCTTGGAGGCATTTTATAAATTGTTGGGATGAGCGCACCGTATAATAATAATAATTCTTGCATTTGATATAATGCCTTTCTGCTATCTGATATCTTATATCAAATGCAAATCCTGCTTCACTGGATTTACTGTAATGTGTATGTATATTTTGTAGGTGAAAGTGGGAGCCAATTTGCCAACAGCAATGTTCCACAAACAGCCATGAAGTGAATGACCAATTTTATCTGGGGGTTTGTTGGCCAGGACACTGGAAGAAACTATCCTGTTTTGTTTTCCAGCCTTCTCATCAAACCTGCATTGCAATTACCCTTTTTTTTTTTTGTCTGTGTGTGTGCATAGGAGAACCTGATCGGAACACTGCTGGCGATCTTCGGGAATCTCGTCATCAGCGTCTCTCTGAATGTGCAGGTGAGGCCCCAGCCGCCAGCGCAGTGCTATTCACACAAGTAGAAAAAGAGCCACTTTGCTGAGCTTCACTTGAGCTCTGTACAAGGAAATGTTCTAAAACTCCATAGTTTTTATACTGCAAGAGCAGCTCCTTCCCATCTGTGTCTGGAATCCTCTTTCCAAATACTTGCCCCCCATTCTCCACTCCCCCACCGGCAGCACTGCACTGAAGCAGCAACGCATCTTAATTCATTTTGCCTTGGCTGAACCGCTGCTGTATACATGCGCCTTGTTAATACACACTTGCATATAACTGCAGAGTGTGTCTGTTCCGTGTCCCTGGTGTGTGTTTGGGAGATAATAGTAATAATCTTTGCATTTGATGTAGCGTCTTATCACGTCTTTCGCCGAAAAGATTGCAAAGTGATTTGACTGTATATTTTGTGGGCGAAACGCGGCAGCCAATTGCGTGCAGCAGCGTCCCCACAAACAGTTGTGGGTTGAGAGAGACCAAATTCTTATTCTTTGTTTTCGAAATGCGCAAAAGGATCCGTTGTTAATCCGCCTTTTGCAGTAACATAAGTCAATTCTCCCACAAAACACAGTCAATTCACTACAGTATATTCTGTGAAGTGCATTGAGACGTCTCGAAGATGTGATAAGGCGCTATATCAAATGCAATGATTAATATTATTATTAATATCTGTTGTGGATCTGTTGCTCAACTCTGAGTATAACCACTATGTACAGTCGTCATCCAGTGGTAGGGAACAGGTACTGCAAAACGGTCTATATTTTCTGCTTCAACAATCATGTCTTTGGATACTTTGTATTTGTAAAGACTGTTTTGTATTTTCTCCCCCTCACCCACTTCCATTTCAGAAATACAGTCACGTGAAGTTATCCAGTGCCAAAGATCCGCGATCGTACTTTAAGACCAAGACCTGGTGGCTGGGGCTGGCGCTGATGCTGGTTGGTGAACTGGGTATCTTCACGTCGTACGCCTTCGCTCCCCTCTCGCTGGTCACTCCGCTCAGCGCTGTGTCGATCGTAGGTAAGACCTTCGGACGCGTCGCACACAATGGTGGCTCCTGAAGTGATGGGCAGGTAATATAATAGTATTGAGACAGCAGGTCAAGAGGACACGGCTCAGGGGTGTGAAGGGCAAGTTTAGGACAGACCAGAATCGTATCTTTACACAGAGCAATAGAGGACTGGCAACTGGTTTGAAGAAACAGTTTGTTCTGCAGCAGCGGAGGAGGTCATGTAGATATTAAATCCAGCGCATGATAGCATGAAGGGTGCTACATAAATGCAAATTATTGTTGTAAATCATTGACCCCAGTTTGAAGATGATTGGCGATGGGAGGAAAACTCTTTGCTTCCGGTGGTGAGATATCTCACAAAGGCGCAGTTAGTGCTGGAAGCTGAGCTCTGTGTAACTTTCTTCTCTCTCTCTCCCCACAGCCAGTTCAATAATAGGAATTATATTCCTCCGAGACAAATGGAAACCCAAAGAATTTCTAAGTAAGTTTCATTTCTCCTCACTTTAATTATTGAGTGAGTGACACGTGTAGCACCGGACCCTGTTATCTTGGTGGAATTCACTTGTGTGTGGAAAAAATTTGGGTCATTCGCTCCATGACTGTTTGTGTGACCCTGCTGTGTGCAATTAGCTGCCGCGTTTTGCCACAAAATGCACAGTCAATCCACTTTGCAATACATTTTCTGAAGTACTTTGAGACGTTTCAAATGGAAGGATTATTATTATTGTTATGTTGAAGTTGTGGTATTTAATAGAAACATTTGGTGTTCGACGTAGTGAGCCAGCTCACTCTGCTCCCCCTTGTCCCACAGAACGCTATGTGCTCTCACTTCTGGGCTGCGGATTGACGGTGACCGGGATCTACCTACTGGTCACGTTTGGACCAAATGCTCACGAGAAGTTGACGGGCAGTAACCTGGTGCAGCACCTACTGTCGTGGCCGTTCCTCCTGTACTTGGTGAGAATGGAGTGAAATCTATCTCACCATTCGTATTATTTCAGCTTCGGTGTATAAACCGGCACCTGCCATTACAATAGACCCTGATTATCAGCTCCTGTTAACTCTGCAAGCCAAAGCTCTAACAGGTATGGTGGTCCTAGCAGTGGGAAAGCTTGCCGAACAGTGATATCAATAGCAAGCTATGCCTTTTTAGCTGGTTAGACTCCAGCAGTTACCCCAACACACACTCTGGGGTCTCCAAGCCTTGGTTCTTGCCAACATGCGCCGAATACTTTCCGGAATTAGGTAAGCGGGATGTGTCCCTCCAGGGAGAGAGAGAGAGAGAGAGAGTGCGCATTCCATTCCAACAATCTATTTCTGGGATTTCCCTGTGTAGGTGGGATGCGTGAAAACCCCGGTTTGGTTTGGATACTCTTAAGCGCAGTGATGGGTCTCAGCATGTGTCAGGCATCCGGCCGACCCCAAAAATTCTAACACAATTGGTTATTACTTGCTTGGCTTATGGAGGTTGTGGGTTTGTGTTTGTGACTTGAAAGGCGCGACACAAATGTAATTTATTGCTGTGGTTGAGATCAGCCGTTTTGTATATTCCTACCTGTTGGTTTCTGTATTTCCAGCTCCTGGCGATCATCTTGTTTTGCCTTCTCTTGTATTACTACAAAAGGCGGAAGATGCGGTATATAATTATCATTCTGCTACTCGTGGCCCTGCTGGGTGAGTGTCTGGGGCTTTGTGTCGGCGGTATCTGGTAAGCGAGTAAGAGTCAGAGCACAGCCCCTGAGGTGAAATGAGCGGCTTCAGTCTTGGATTTAACTCGCGTTTAAAAAATACCAGCCACGGAATGAGCTATTCGCCAGGGTGAGAGCTGCTTGCTCTCACAGTAACGGTAAGTAGTCACTGTTCATTGAGTGGGCAGAGGATTGCTCGCTGTGTGGCGTTGCTGTTTATTAATAATAATAACGCCTAATAATAATCCCTCCAAAACCAAAAACAATAATAAAATTGGTCATTTTCAATCTACGACTGTTTGTGGGACATTGCTGTGCGCAATTGGCCGCCGCGTTCGCCCACAAATATACAGTCAATTCACTTTACAGTGTGTTCTGTGAAGCGCTTTGGGACGTCCTCCCGACGTGAAAAGCGCTATATCAAATGCAAGGATTATTATTATTATTATTATTAAGTCTTGGCTGTATTCCTACAGGCTCAGTCACGGTTGTCACGGTGAAGGGGGTGTCTGGGATGATCGTGTTGTCTATTGAGGGGAACCTGCAGCTCTCATACCCCATTTTCTACGTGATGTTCGTGTCCATGGTATCAACGGCAGCCTTTCAAGCCATGTGAGTCCCGTCACTAATTTTTAACTGTTAGCTCAGCGGGGTTACTCAGTGAGAGGCTGAGCCTTTCGTAGTGGCATCTATGTTGGCCAGCCGGGTGTCTCTTACACGCAGAAAAACATCACCATCTTTTAAAAGCATCGACATGCTTAAAATAATATTCCTTGCACTTGCTATCGTACCGGAAGTACGTCTCAAAGTGCTTCATGGGATTTTCTGTAAAGTGCAACGGCTGTGTGCGTTGTAGGCCAAAGTAACCAATGCAAACCAAACTACTGAGAGTTCCACCATTGCACTGAGGTTTCCCTGTGTCTGGAATAGAGTGTTGCGGAGATGGAGTGAGCAATGGAGTGTCTCCGGCTGTGTTGCTGCGCTCGCTGCTTGTGGCGGCGGTGATGGGTCGGCTCTGGCTGAAGCTGTTCTTGTTGGTTTGAAGGTTGTTGGCTGAAGCCTCCCAGTTTCACGACTCGTCTCAAATCGCCAGCATCAGCTACATTGTCTCCACGATTGTTGCTATCGCAGTTGGTGAGTATCGTCAACTCACAGATCCTCTGGGAGACAACTGAGAGGAATGAGGTTACAGCCTCCCGTCGGTCAGCAGCGGTCTGCATAGGGTGTGTGTGTGAGTGAGAGAGTGCGTGCGTGTGTGTGAACACAGTTTTTCGTTTCCTGATAATAGTGCGTTCCAGTAATTTTGTACTTTGTTGTGCTCTACAGGGGCGATCTTTTACATGGAGTTCAAAGGGGAGAACGCTCTTCACATTAGCATGTTTATTTTGGGGTAAGCTTCACCTGATGGTGTGACTAGCTGGCGTTTGCCGCTATATAGGCTAGGATAGCTGACAGGCTGACTGACCATTGTCGCTCTGTGGTTGTGTAAACGGGAGGCCCGATGAGAACCTGTGAGGTACCAGCAATACGTTGTAGGTAATGTGCTTTTTAACCTGTACACTCCACCCTCCGAACAGAGAAATCCAGAGCAATCGGGTAATACATTAAATGAGATATTAATGTGAGTGTTCTTAGCGCCACTCTGCGTGAAGGGTGCTATATAAAGTAGTTATTACTTTTAATAAAACTTGCATGTAATCACACCCAGAGGTGAAAGTGCTATCTATTGTGCCAGGCTGACACCTCGCTCTCAGCTGGAGTTCTGTTTCTAATTCCTGCTGTCTGTCTCTTCGCTGTCAGCTTACCCTGTTTGAATGTCAGGGCTGTGTGTTCCCGCTCACACAGTGATTACTTTGTGCTCGCAGGTGCTGTGCTGCCTTTGTCGGTGTTGCCCTTATCACTCGAAACAATAAAAAGAAGGCATTTGAACCTTACGTAGCGATCGACGCGATCCCAGGTAACATGGGAAAGCAACAGGGTGCACGTCCATCTACACTGACTGTGAATGACTATTTGAAAAGAGAAGTGAGATTCTCCCAGTGTCCTGGCCAGCAATCCCCAGATAAAATTAGTTGGGCAATTACAGTACTTCCTTGCTATGTTGCAGATTGGCTGCAGTTTGCCTGCAGATACTCAGTCACTACACTTTGTGGCAATCACCTATGATTTGACAGTATAGGTGCTATATCAAATACAAAAGTTGTTGTTGTCATTAATGAATGCTTACCCTCTTTTAAGGACTGCAGAGGATGTTCGACCAGAAGAGAGCAGTGCAGCCTGACAGCGACTGCACCTTCTCCTACGGCACTTTGGTCAACAGCAAGAGTGTGGTCGACACTGAGAACCCGGCCAGGCTGAGCAAAGCCCAGGAGCAGCACAACTCCATGGTTTCACCATATCGGGTCATTGAGTTAAAAAAGGACTGAGCACCGCATGTTGTAGGCTCGTTGGTCTGTAGACCTGGGTGGGTGGGTAGGGAGAGAGGAGCCATGACATGTTTTCAGGGAGACACCACTAGGGGTAACAGGCAATGCAAAGGTTACAGGAGCCCCAATCTGCTCAGGCTCTTTCCCCCCCCCCCCCTTCCCCCACTCAAAGAATATTCACACCCACTGCCAGTGGTGGCTGTGCCTTGCTGGACCCCGGAGGAAACTTGGCAGCCCAAGTGGTGGGATGGGTTGGCTGGTGGCAGCTTAGTTGGGATGCCTAATGTTATGGGGGGTGGGGGGGGGAATGGGGAGGGGCTTTGAACCCAATGCAATTTGGGAACCCCTGCTATTGCTGACGAGCTAACACTGCTTCTCTATCTATCGCATGTTACCGGGTTTGCTAGAAGCTGGTCTCGTTCTCTCGGATTTTCTACAGTCGTCAAACTGGTAGCACTCTCACACCCAGGTCAGGAGGATGTGGGTTCCATCCCCAACTTGGTGGCTTTGAGCTCATAGTCTAGGCTTGCCAACACAGTGTAACGCTGGATGTTCTGATAATGTTGGGGTGCCGTCCTTTGGGCGAGACATTAATACCGAGGTCCAAACTGGCAGTGGATAATATCCTGCAACACTGTTTGAAAAGAGTGTTTCTCTCTGTGTCTGGTTAACAGTCCTCCAGATAAACAGTTCGCGTTTGTGGGATTGTGCTGTACGCAAAATAGCTGCTGCTTTTACCTACAAAAAACAGTTGCTGCATTTGACAATAGTGACTCCAAAGTGCTTTGGGAAGTTTCTTCACAATTCTTCCTGCTTCTGGTTGAATGAAGTTACTGAGGATGTTTCGCACAACCTGGTGTTGCACAGCTGCTACTGCAGGAAGTACAGACCTGTTGCACTGGATTGTTAGCACACACAAAGCCGGCAGGCCGCAAGTTACTGTGTGTGTGTGTGTGTGTGCGTGTGTCATGATATTTAATCAGGACCAAGTGACGTACTCTTGTATCCATACTTTTTACTACCATTTCTGTGAACAAAACCATCTCTGCGTGTGTGTGTCTGTGTGTATGTGTGTGATGTGGCTCTGTGTTACTCTTGGCAGACCAACTAATTCTGAACAAAAACTTCCAACATGCAAACAAAATAAATCTTGTGTTCCATTTACTCCTGATTAGCAAACAGTGTGTGTGTTGGTTTGGCACAGACCTGGACCCTGAAATCCCACCTGCTTGTTGGTTTTATACTTGGACACGCTTCTTGAAATTTCGCAGCATGCAGAATGTTAGCTAACGCTTATACTCAGCCTCAAACTTCGAAGCCAGTTTGCTGCAATTTTCTTTAAAAAAAAAGGCATTGTTGTGATTAAGCAAAATCTGAAATTTAAAAAGGGTTTTGAAACTGGGCATAATTTCAGACTCCAGGTCAGTGTCAAGTGCCCTCATCCCAGTTGCACACAATTGCAAATCTACAGAGTTTGTACCAAGCCAACGTGATAATTATCGCCTGTTTCAGCCACCTTGTGACTTAGCTCGCTGATGTAGTCAGGCTCTAATCAGCTGGGCTCAGCTGGGTCTTCGTGCACTTATGTACATAAATGAGTGAAAAACAAAATTATTTATAATTGTGTTATATGAACTGTGTTGACGTGTGTGTTTGCGAGCACCAGGGCAGGTCATTCACTGTCTCTTGGCCTTTCTATTTTGCTTTTATAAACTAAATTTGAATGTTTGCGGGTGCCAGTGTACAACTGTATTTCAGCACCATACTGTTCAAATAAAATGATTTAGGAGAGAGACTGAGCTATTGTGTTTTACATTGGCCATGTGGCAAAGGCAGACCGCTGATAAACTGCAGGGAATTTCTGTTCCTAATCCCAGCCAGACTGTTCCTTGCTGGCAGGAAGGGAATGCTGTGGGTGGAACAGCTTTGTGTCTGGGTTTGAGTCATGGGGGAGGGAAATGTTTCTTCATCAATGCCCTGATTGAGCAAGAGGAAGGAAATTTGCACCCAGAGCTGCATGTGTGTTGGGTCACGGAGGAGCAGGAAGTATATTAACAGCTGACATTGGCCCTTGCCAACTCGTACCTATACTCTTAACGGGTGCATTCCAAGGGGAAGGTTATACACGCCATTCCACGGCAATTCCAGACAAATGGAAACCATAGTTAAGCGGAACTCACTAGTTTGATTTGGATATTCTTAAAACACGGTGGTGGGTGCCCGCATGCCTCTCAACTGACAAAAAAAAAAGTCATTGAATGCCAACCAGGGATGTAAAAAATCACATTGTGCCTCATTCCTCCAGGTCATGGGTTGATCTCTCTCACTGTTTGGATAGCCAATAAAATCTCACCCTCTGTGTGCCTCCCGATGATACTCCTGTAGTGTAATCTTACAGATTACAGCGTTCATCCTCAAAAGCACACAGTCACTCCACTTTACAGTATGCCCTGTGAAGCGCTTTGAGACGTCCTCCTGACAGGAAAGGTGCTAGAATAGCAAGTAAGAATTATTATTATAGATGAGCATTCTCACAACCAGTGTAACAATAATCCTCGCATTTGATATTGTCTTATCACGTCAAAGTGCTTCGCAGAATATATTGTAAAGCGAATTGACTATATTTTGTGGGCAGAACGCGGCAGCCAATTGCGCACAGCAGTGTCCCACAAACGGCTGTGGTTTGACCGACCAAATTATTATATTTTTTGAAGGGATTATTACTCCCGGAAAGTGATCTGCCAATCGATTAACAACCGGGTTCCTATTTACTGCCAGGTAAACAGAGGTACGTTACCCACCATGTGGCACAGTGACCCATGTTCTTAGCTCACACTTTAATATTTCTTATAAAACAATCGTCCTGAAGTAACTCATTTCTGACTCACCCACAGGACTGACTCGTGTTCTGTTCACCATTACAACGCAATGAGCCAGTCAGAAGGGTTGGTTCGTACAGTCTGACCTGGACAAAGGTACAGTATATACATTTTCAATACAGGAATTAGAAAGCTTTACATTTTCTAATGACTTTTATATAAATTCTGTCTGCCGGTTATTCTGTCTCACTCCTTCCTTTGTGGTCCTTCTGTGAAAGAAAAAGTTGCATTATGATGAGGTTTTCGGGTCATAGGTTCATACACGACTTGCAAAGACCATTGAGGTCCATCTGACCCGTCCCAACCGTATCAAAGGATATAAATTTTAGCAAAGAAGGAAGCCATTTTGCTCTGTGGTATCTCCTTCCACTGGAGTTCTCTGTGCTCACCATTTCCCTTAAGCCCCTCTGTAACTTGTTCTGTAGGGTGGGGATGACTGAGGAAGTTGCTTCAAAATGTAGTGAAATGAGGGATTCCTGAGGCCCAAAGCTTCTCACGCTTTTCTGGCCACAGATTGTGTGGAATGTAGGAGTAATAATAATAATAATCCTTGCATTTGATATAGCCCCTTATCATGTCATTGAGACTTCACAGAATATACTGCAAAGTGTAGCGACTGTGTACTTTGTGGGCAAAACCGTGGTAGCCACTTGGGCGTATTAAGATGTTAAGAATTTTGTTTTTCTGTATTCTAGGCTCGGGTGGAACTTTTCCCTTTTAAACCACCATCTCTAGAAATGGACAACGGACGCACTGTTAACAACGATGATTTACATTTATATAGCGCCGTTTGTGTTGTGAGGATGTCTCAAAGAGCTTTATACAGCCTACTGGGCACCCAGCTAGATGAGATGGGGTGGGGGGGGGGGAAGCTGACTGGGCTTTGTGTCTCCCCCCCACCCCCCCACCAGACACACTCTTACTCATACTCACTGCCACATGGCCAGCAATGATCAGACCCAGTCCTGAGTTCTGTAACCACTGATGGGATTTGTGTGGGTTTATCGGTGATAACCTCTACTTGTTGTTGGGGTCTGAAATGTATTTGCGGGAGTTTGACTCACATTGTTCTCCTGATGGTCATTCTTTCCCGGCTGGTCAGGTCCCACATTCTCCGCGATGGTCCCAGCTGCTTGGAAGGTCTTGGTTGCTGAGGGGATCTCGTATGTTGTGGGGATCTCGTCTCTTATTGGGGTCTCTCTCGTCACCGGGCTCTCACCTATTGCAGAATTTCCACCTGTTGCGGGGGTCTGTCCTGTTGATGGGGTCTGTTGTATTGAGGGCGTCTCGCCTGTTGTGGGGATTTCAGTTGGTGTAGGGTATTTATCTGTTGTGAGAGTCTCAACAACTGCATTCTCGCCTGTTGTGGGGGTCTTGTCTGTTGTGGAGGTATTGCCTTTTGCAGGGTTTTCACCAGTCCCGGGGGTCTTGCTTGTTGTGGGCATCTTGTCTCTTGCAGGGGTTTCACCTGTTGTTTGGGTCTCACCTGTTGTGAGGGTCTTGTCTATTGCGGGGGTCTGACCTGATGCAGGATTGTCACCTCTTGTGGGGGACTCGCATGCTGTGGGGGTCTCAGTTGTTGTGGACATCTCGTCTCTTGCAGGGATTTTGCCTGATACAAGAGTCTCATTTGATGCAGAATTTTCATCTGTGGGGGTCTCACCTACTGTTAGGGACTCGTGTATTCCGGGAGTCTCGTTTGTTGCAAGGTTTTCGTCTGTTGCGTTGCCTGTTGTGGGGGTTTCGCCTGTTAAGGAGGTCTCGCTTTCCATTAGCTCAGCTGCATTCTTGACTAACAGGAGAGTGAAAAGCATGAGCATTAGTGAAGTTTTCAAGATGTTAAAAGGTAAATGTAAAACCCAACCCTAATAATATGTTTAACATGATCGCATCTCTGTATAAAGGGGCCCAGACTCCAGCTCAGAACAAGGCAGGTGAACAGACACAAAAAGAGAGAGAGCTGGGAAAACCCAGCAGGTCAGGCAGCATCTATGGAGAAAGGAAAGTGAGTCAACTTCCATGACCTCTTCGTCAGAACGGAGCAGGTGAACAGACAGTGGGAACCAAATTAATGGGAGTTGCAAAAGGATTTGTCGCTTGTGAATCCCAAATTTGTTGTGGCCAATTCTGTGTATGTGTGTATGTGTACATACACGCGCAGAGAATTGTGTATATGTTTGCATGTGTACAAGTACATGTTGTGTGTATGTTTGTATGTGTGTATATACATGTACATGTTGTATGTCTGACCAACAGTTAACATAGTGAAATAATATCACGTGCTGTTTGCTGTGTCCTTTTTACTGTGTCCTTATAATGTGCTGTTATGAACAAAGCATATGTCATACATGTGCTCATGTGGGTTCTGTCCGCACAGCCATTAGATAAGCGCTGAAACTTGTGTCTTTGCAGTGTTAAATAATACAGACAATGACCTCGGAAACACAATCTATCCTAACCTTGGGCTGTTGAAGAATCCGCTGGAATGAGCTGCAAATCTGCTGTTGTAGGTCGGACATCTGTTGGAGCAGGTTCACCTTCTACAGGCTGCTGGGTTCCTGCTGGAATGGACTCAGTACCTACTGAGGAGGATTTGGTATCTGCTGTGGTAGATTCGGTGTGTGCTGGGGTAGACTCGGTATCTGCTGGGGTAGACTCGGTATCTACTGGGGTAGACTCGGTATCTACTGGGGTAGACTCGGTATCTGCTGGGGTAGAGTTGGTATCTACTGGAGTAGACTTGGTATCTGCTGGGGTAGACTCGGTATCTGCTGGGGTAGACTCGGTATCTGCTGGGGTAGACTCGGAATCTGCTGGGGTAGACTCGGAATCTGCTGGGGTAGGCTTGGTATCTGTTGGGGTAGACTCAGTATCTGCTGGGGTAGGCTTGATATCTGCTGGGGAAGGCTTGGTATCTGCTGGGGTAGGCTTGGTATCTGCTGGGGTAGGCTTGGTATCTGCTGGGGTAGGCTTGGTATCTGCTGGGGTAGTCTTGGTATCTGCTGGGGTAGGCTTGGTATCTGTTGGGGTAGGCTTGGTATCTGTTGGGGTAGGCTTGGTATCTGTTGGGGTAGGCTTGGTATCTGTTGGGGTAGACTCAGTATCTGCTGGGGTAGACTCAGTATCTGCTGGGGTAGGCTTGGTATCTGCTGGAGTAGGCTTGGTATCTGCTGGGGTAGGCTTGGTATCTGCTGGGGTAGGCTTGGTATCTGCTGGGGTAGGCTTGGTATCTGATGGGGTAGACTCAGTATCTGCTGGAGTAGGCTTGGTATCTGCTGGGGTAGGCTTGGTATCTTCTGGGGTAGGCTTGGTATCTGCTGGGGTAGGCTTGGTATCTGCTGGGGTAGGCTTGGTATCTGCTGGGGTAGGCTTGGTATCTGCTGGGGTAGGCTTGGTATCTGCTGGGGTAGGCTTGGTATCTGCTGGGGTAGGCTTGGTATCTGCTGGGGTAGGCTTGGTATCTGCTGGGGTAGGCTCAATACCTACTGAGCTGCTTTCAGTACCTCCAGTGGCAGGGTTAATAGCCTCTAGGGTGGAGTCATTATCTGCAGGAATGAACCCAATACCTGCAGGAGTAGACTCAGTATCTAATGGGCTGGTGTCACAAGTGCTACACAAGCGCTCTGGGATACCACCCTGTGTGAAGGGCACAATATAAGTGCAAGTTGTTGTTGTTGTTGTGTCAGTACCTGCTGGGTTAGGGTCACTAACCACTAGGGTGGAGTCAGAACATGTTGGAGAAGGCTTGGTACCTGCTGGGATGGATTCAGTACCTTCTGCGAAGCACTTGGTATTTGCTGGAGTAGACTCCGTATCTCCTGGGATAGTGTCTGTCCCGGCTGGGATTAGCCCAATGCCTGCAGGGCTAGACTCTGTATCCACTGGAGCAGAATCATTACCTGCTGGGGTAGGCAGAGTATCTGCTGGGGTAGACTCATTATCTACTGGGCCCCTGTCAGTAACTGCTGGGGTAGGGTCGGGCTCACTTCCTGCTGGGAGGAGCTCAGCACTTTCCTGCGTCGTCTGGATGTTTAGTACATTGTTAAATCCATCTGAGAAATAGAGAAAGATATACTGAGCTCGGACAGGTTCAGAGGGAAGATCCACAGAGAAGAACGATGAAAAGAAAAACTGCTGGAAAATGTGTCACTCATTCACCGTCACAGGGTAGGAGGAACGATAAGAGTTAAGTCACGAGGAGTAGGTTAGCCTCTTTTTGCTGTGTGGAAAATTCAATGACAAAGGACCTTTCACTTCGCACTAAGCACAACGACAGTGTTAACGTTTTGGTCAACCGGGTATCTGACCCATGCGGAAAGCAAATCCCAATGCTTACAAGTATCCGATTAGATTGAGAGTTCCACACATGTATACGTCTACACACGTCAATGTCCTTTTGTTCTTCTGAATGGAATGCTCTCTCTCTCTCTCTCTCTCTCTCTCTCATCGGAGGAACGCATCCTGCTAACCTAATTCTGGAGAGTATTAGGGTAGAGATGAGGCTTTGGGATCCCAGAGTGTGCATTGGGGTAACTCCTGGAGTCTAACCGGCTAAAGCCACATAGCACTGTCTGGCAAGCTTCCCACTGCCTATCCAGCTAGTTAGGACCACTCTGCCAGTTAGGTCTTTGGTTTGCAGGGTTAATAGGAGGCGAATAGGATGTAAATCTATGGAACAGCTCCCTAGTGTTGATTCTCTCAAATGCAAATTAGATAGAAATCTTTTAGGAAATAATATTTTGGGATACAGTATATGACTAGTTCAGGACATGACATGACTGCCAGGATAGTAGAAGGCGAATTGGATGGACCTTGGTCTTTTTTGGTGTAGCATTTTCCTATGTTCCTAGGAGCTGAGCAGGAAGTTCTCCAGATATTGCAGATGAGCCAGACTGGGCTGAGTTACCACCAATTTGTTTCTATATTCCTTGACCTGCTCTTTACAAATCCATCTCTCTGCTTGTAAAAGCCTTTGTTATTGCTTCTTTTTTCAGCCTTCATATAATCTCTCTTTTTGCTTCATCACTACACGTTTTAAGACTTTCAGAGTTACACTAATGTAGGTAGATGTTCCAACAGAGAACAAACAGACTCTCTCACACTCAGGAATAACAGAGAAAGAGAGAGAGAGAGAGAGAAACACACACACAGTAATACAGAGAAAGACAGAGATTCCAATTCACAATAACACGCACAGACACATTCAAAAATAGCAGAGAGGGAGAGAAAGAGAAGGAGAGATTTACTGTTGGTAAACTGAGGCACGTGGAGTAAGGAAACTTGCCCAAGGTTTCGCCCTGCCCGGGAATCTAACCCGGATCCTCTCGCTTACAAGGCGAGTGTTCTAACCAATATGCTACAGGACTCCTACAGCAATAATAGAGAGCGCAACATGTCATAACAGAGAGAAAGATAGACTCCGTAGTAATAATAATAATCCTTGCATTTGATATAGCGCCTTATCACGTCTTCCAGACGTCTCAAAGCACTTCACAGAAAATGCTGTAAAGTGAATTGACTGTATATTTCGGGGGCGAAACGCGGCAGCCAATTGCGCACAGCAGTGTCTCACAAACAGAAAACGATTCGCCAATCGATTAACAACCGGGTTACTACTTACTGTTGGCAAATTGAGGTGTGTCGAATGAGGAAACTTGCCTAAGGTTTCACCCTGCCCAGGAATCGAACCCGGATCCTCTCGCTTACAAGGCGAGTGCTCTAACCACTACATCACAGGAATCCTACAGTGATAATAGAGATCGCAATACATCAAAACAGAGAGAAAGAAAGATGCTGGAGCCCTTGGCAATGCAAATGAATTACCTTTTGAGCTGCATGTTGTGTTGAGGAGGGGGTTGAGAGGCTGGACCTGTGTGCTGGCCGTACACCCCATGCTCTACGATCTGATGGACAGGTGAGATGGACAGGTCAAAGATCACTGGCATCGCCTTGTCCCCGGTCAGTCTCTAAAGCATTGCTTCCCACACCGCGTGTAACTGATCACACATGAGCAGAGCAGGTCCACACACACTCTTCCTGCGCGCACAGGAGAACGAGGGTAGTCCGCGGCTGCATTAATCATTCCCTTATCAGTGTTCATCAAGAGTTTTCCACAGTGTCTGCCACCTGCATTGAAACTGAACACAACTCTGGAACAGGCTGGAGTCGGAGACATCTGTCTGACAATGCTTAGCTGCTGTTGTGGAAACCAAGTCTTACCTAGAGGACCCCGAACATGTCCTCACTTGTTGAGGAGCATATTTCTGGCAGCTTGTGGCTGGCGTGCGTTGTGACAGACAGGATCATTGTCTGCCTGTTAATATGTAACCTTAAAGCACAAGTGACCCGCCTGGCTGGGGTCTGATTGACCCTTTGGCCTGGGAGAAGCTGCATGCTCTTGGCTGGGGTTTGTGAGCCGAGAGGAACGTTCAAGAAATGAAGCCATTTCGCACAAATCTGCCCGTCTGTACAGGTTGCTGCCGAGATGCTCTAAGATGCCCGCTGCCTGCAACAACAACTTGCATTTATAGAGCGCCCCTCCACCCAGGGTAGTGTCCCAGAGCACTCGACAGTGGCGGAGCACGATGTTGAGCTGAAGGGGAGGAGGTAAGCTCTTCAGGTGCGACCTGAAGAAGGGGAAGGAGGAGGCGAGGCAGAGAGCATTCCAGAGTTTCGGGGCGTAACGGCTGAAACTGCAGCCACCAATGTTGGAGCGGAGGGCAGAGAGGGAGAGAGAGAGAGGGAGAGAGAGGGAGGCAGAAAGAGATAATGAGAGAGACACAGACGTGCTCATTGGGATGATACGAAGGGGAGAGAAAAATTGGGACAGTTGTCTGCCAATATCACAGATCAGTTCCTGAAATCTCTCTTCATCTCTTCATCTCTTCACAACGCGCCTCAGGGCATCCTCCTGTGTGAATAAAACATTGAGGGATTGGGAAAAGAACTGGAGAGCGGGATTAAATAAAAAAAAATTGAAAAACAATCTCTCCATGTCTCACTCAATGTTTCTCATTGACTCCCTCTCTGTGTGTCTCTCTCTCTCTCTCTGTGTGTCTCATTCATTGTGTCTCTCTGCGTCTTTCTTTCCGCCTCTGTTTGCCGTGCTTTCCCCACCTCTGCTTGTCTATTTAGGCCATCACTGATCAGGCAGCTCCAGTATGTAGCAATGGCTGCGGACACAATGGACCAAAAGGCCTCCTTCTGTGCAGAACATTTAATAATAATAATAATAATCTTTGCATTTGATATAGTGCTTTTCATGTCTTCTAGATGTCCCAAAGCGCTTCACAGAATATACTGTAAAGTGAATTGACTGTATATTTGTGGGCGAACGCGGCAGCCAATTGCGCACAGCAATGTCCCACAAACAGTCGTAGATTGAAAATGACCAATGTATTATTGTTTTGGGTTTTGGAGGGATTATTATTAGGCTCTGTGTGGAGTAAGGAAACTTGCCCAAGGTTTGGCCCTCTGCCTGGAATTGAACTCAGATCTCTCGCTTGCAAAGCGAGTGCTCTAACCACTGAGCGACAGGACTTGATTGCGTTTGAAAGGTCTGCTGCAGACAGTAAGTACAAACTGTTCTTCACTTCCATCAGCTTGCGTTTCAATTTTCTCCTATTCTACTCCTCTCCACTGGCACTGACTGACTGGTGTGGGGTACAGTAATTAATGTAGTGTACAATGATCCTTGCATTTGATTTCGCGCCTCATCATATTGTTGCAGTGTCTCAAAGCACTTTGCAGGACATACTCTAAAGTGTAGTGACTGTGTGTTTCGTTGATGAAACTTCCACTTGCGCACAGCAATGTCCCACAAACAGCCATGGAGCAAGTAATCAATTTTTATGTGGGGGTTATTGTTGGCCAGGACATTGAGAGAGATAAGCTCCCTTCTCTTTCCGAATAGTGCGATTGGATCTTTAACATCCACCTGAACAGGCAGTCGGGCCTCGGTTTAACATCTTATCCAAAGGACGGGTATTGGGTACAGTATGGCCATTGGATAAAGCACAGGCATTGATGTTGTTATTGCTATTTTCTCGGTGCTGTCGTTCCGGACAAATGCTCCAAGGGCTCTGTCAGCAACTCTGCTGCCCTTTCCAAGTGAGTGATTGCAAATGAAAATGTAATTATAAAGCAGTCCAGCCGCAAATCCTCTTAAATGTATATTTTTAAGTGTCACCAAACTCAAAACAAACACTGTTGCTAAGCAATACAACACTTCCCAATCGCTGGGTTACCTGGAATTGAACGGCGCTGTTTACATCCACTATTAAATACGCCTGATGCCCATTGCTCACCCAGTCAATGATCAACTTTGTTTTATTGTGAAGCCCAGGCTATGGAGCTGCACATCAATGAAGCTGCAAAAAATTGGATGGAAGTCAAGAGGTAGCGATTATGCGACTTATACAAACTGGTTAGTGAAACGGTGACAAGGGAACGAAAGGTCAGGATTTGCACTGTAAGGGGGAGGTTAGGAGAAAACTTTTTTCCTGCAGAAGGGAGTCAACATGGAACATTTGTCATTTGGAGCAAGGATCCTTTCTACTCAGCTCCTGTTAACCCTGCAAACCAATGGTAGAATGGTCCTACTTGGAGAAACAGCAGAAAGCTTCCCAGGGGAGTGCTCTCAATGACAAGCTGCATACCTTTAGCTGGTTAAACTCCAGCAGTTACCCTATCACATACTCTGGGTTCCCCAAGGCTTGGCTCTTGCTAACAGTGTACCCGATCTTCTCTGACGTTAGGTGAGCAGGGAAGATGGGCGCGCATTCCATTGCTGACACCGGGAACTTTCTATGTGCAGTTTGCTTACATATGTGGAACTCTGGTTTGGATACTCTCGAGCTTGGTGAAGGGTTTCCGCAGGTGGCAGACACCCGGCTGATCAAAAAAAATCCAATCCAGCGCTGAATTTTCCCAGACCCAGTCCCTTCACTTGCCATTCCTGTTCCCCATGGTTGAAGAGCAAGGGATGGGGAAGCTGAGACACTTGAAGAGAGGAGGAAGTCAGAGGACCTACCCCAAATGAAGGGTATATAATTACACGTTGTTGTTGTTGTTGTTGTAGTGTGTAGAGATCAATGCTCCAAGGCACTACTCCACTTGAGGGGTGCTATAAAAATGTAATCGTTGCTTTTATTGTAGTAACTTTAGGAGGGGGCAAAAAAAAATGAACATGGGAAATAAAATGAAAAAAGCGAAATATTCTACTGATAAAATAGGCCCAATGTTAAAAAAAATGAAACAAAATTCAACCAGTTATTTGGGTGTATGTGATTGGTATAGGTGAAGATAATCATAATAATAATAATAAGCATAATCATAAATTGGTCACTCACTCCACGACTGTTTGTGGGACACTGCTGCGCGCAATTGGCTGCCGCGATTCGCCCACAAAATATACAGTCAATTCACTTTACAGTATATTCGGCGAAGCGCTTTGAGACATCTCGAAGATGTGATAAGGCGCTATATCAAATGCAAAGATTATTATTATTAATATCTGTTGTGGATCTGTTGCTCAACTCTGAGTATAACCACTATGTACGGTTGCCATCCAGTGGTAGGGAACAGGTACTTAGGGTCTAAATGGTCTATATTTTCTGCTTCAACAATCATGTCTTTGGATACTCTTAAGCATAGTGATGGGTTTCCTGATGTGTCAAACACCAGGCTGACAACCCCTAAAAAAATCTTTCTAAATCCGCTTGAGCCCTATTATAAGGCCTATGTTACAAACTATTTTTTGCCAGTGATGTAAAGAGAGACAGCGGCATTGATCAGTTATACCAGACAAAGCATGTTCTCTTGCCTCTCTGAGCACTTTTAGTTCCTGTGTTTTAATTTGCAAACACAGTATGTTACATTGCTAAACCTTATAATAATAATAATAATAATAATAATCCTTGCATTTGATATAACGCTTTTCACGTCTTCTCGACGTCTCAAAGCGCTTCACGGAATATGCTGTAAAGTGAATTGACCGTATATTTGTGGGCGAAGTGCGGCAGCCAATTGCGCACAGCAATGTCCCACAAACAGTCATGGATTGAGTGACCAAACTATAATTATTTTGAAGGGATTATTATCCCCGGAAAGCGATCCATATTATATGTAATATTTCATACATTCACGTTAGGAAGACATCTCAAAGAGCTGTAGTAAACAACAACAACAACAAAATTACACTTGTAGAGCGCTTTTCGCGTCAGGAGGACGCCCCAAGGTGCTGGACAGTCAGAGTTTCGGACCCGAGCTGGGGGTCGGGATCGGGGAGGGTGGAGGGCGGCGGGGGGGAAGCAGGGTGATCGAAAGCACGGTCGAAGAGGAGGGTCTTGAGATGGGTCTTGCAGGAGGCAAGGGAGCGGGCGAGATGGAGGGACTGCGGGATGGAGTTCCAGAGGGTGGGGGCAGGGAGGAGCGGGGAGCAAGACCATGGAGGGCTTTGAAGGTGAGGACCAGGATCTTGAACCGTATCCGCTGTGTGATGGGAAGCCAGTGGAGTCGGGCGAGGATGGGGGTGATAGGGTCACGAAGCCTGGTCGGGAGAGAACATGGGCTGCAGAGTTCTGGATGATCTGCAGCCTATGGAGGGAGGAGGTGAGGAGGCTGACAACAACAAGAATACATTTGTATAGTGCCTTTCACATCGGGAGGACGGCCCGAGATGCTGGACAGTGCACAGCATTCAGCCCCGAGCTGGGGTCAGGGAGGGAGCAAGGAGGGGAGGGGAAGGGAAGGGGTTGACCGATGGCAAGTTCGAAGAGGAGGGTTTTGAGGCGGGACTTGAAGGAGGCTAAGGAGGGGGAGAGGGGAGTGATTGGGGGATGGAATTCCAGCGGTTGGGGGCAGAGTGGCTGAAGGCTCTCCCGCCAATGGTGGGGTGTGTGGGTCGGGGGACGTGGAGCAGCCGGAGCGAGCGGGCGGGTTGATAGGCGGTTAGGAGGTCGCAGAGGTAGAGTGGGCCGAGGCCATGGAGGGCTTTGTAGATGAGGACCAGGATCTTGAACTGGATCCTCTGAAGGATAGGGAGCCAATGGAGAATGGGGGAGATGGGGTCACGGAGTTTGGTGCTGGAGAGGATACGGGCTGCAGAGTTCTGGATTATCTGCAGCTGTGGAGGGAGGAGTTGGGAAGGCCGACAAGCAGGGCATTTGCATAGTCGAGCCTGGAGGTGATGAAGGCATGAACAAGAGTTTCAGTGGTCTGAGGGG